GGTGATTTTTTTTGGGTAAAAACGTCATATTTTTGTGGTGCACAAAACTCAAAGCTAATGAGAAGTGAGTATCAAACAGCTGTTAAAAGTAAGCAGCTCATTGAAACAATCTCAAACAAGTTAATATTTGTCATAAAATGACTACTTACATCTATTTCAATTTACTTTTTTAATTTATTATTTATATAATGGTTTGTTTACATCGATTAATTCGGTTAAATTAATAAAATATTGTAGTTGAAATTCCTTTAAGAAATATTGATATAAATTTAATAAAATGAAGATAATTTTATAATGATTATTAAAATGATTAGTGATTGAAATCGAATTTAACAAAATTATTCGTAGTTACTAGCAACTTTATTTTATTTTATTTTTATATTTTTAGGATCAAACTAAAAAATATTAAAAGCATAATAATTATAATAAAATTATCAAGAAGAGGTGGTCTTGTACTAGACTTCTTCCCTGAGGCTTAAAGAAAACTTATATTAACTTAACGTATCTAAGAGTAACTTTGAAGTTCAATTAAATTTAAAAACGTGTTCAACACAAAAAGATTAGTTAAATAATGAAAAAATCAACAGACGAGTGTGAAAGACACGTGATTTTCATGATTTAATGAAAAAAATATTAAAATATAATTATTTGAAGTAAATGATAAGTGTGAAAGACACGTGATTTTCTTTAGGACTTAAATTTCCAGTGATTGAAAATAAAAATGATTGACTAATCGAATTTTATCTTTTTTGCAACAAACAAAACACATCTATTTCCTTAATAGTCCATGATGTTTTTACCTGAAAATCACTTTGACATAAATTAATTACCTGTTAGACACCGTTTAAGAAAATCTTACCAATCTAGCGTCTTTCTCCTATTATGGCACGGATCATAATTCGTATCTTGTTAGAAATGATGCTAGATCGGTAAAATGTTCTAAAACAACAAGTAATTAATTTATACCAGGGTGATTTTAAGGTAAAACACCATGATATAAACCTAAAAAGATGTATTGTGTATAAAAATGTGAAGTATGAAAATAGATTATCAAAAGACTTAGTTATTTTGTGTATAAAAATTAGAAGTATAAAATTAGATAATCAAAAGAGGTGATTTTCCCGAAAAAAATACCTATTTTTTAATTATTTACGTGTCAGACACCGAAAGAGAAAATATTACGGATCTAACACCTTTTACAGAAAGGAGACGCTGATGTGGCGCCACGTGAGGTAAGGCACGGTCCATACACCCCGCCTTACGCCAGCTGGAGCCACATCAGCGTAAGGCGTGGTGCATGGGTCGTGCCTTTCTGTTGACTGACCAAGCGCCAGAAATGAGCGGTGCATGGGCAGCGCCTTTTATAATTGTATCCGAATTTATCGACTTAAACTTTTCTCTCGACTATAAATGATACGCTCTCAACCCATAAACATTCACACACCAATCCTCTCAATCCGAAAACATCACACAACAATCCTCTCAACCCGTAAACATCACCCGACAATCCTCTTATCTTCGATTCAGAAATTTGTTCAATCTTTCTTTGTAAGGTAATTTTTTTAATATATAATATTTTTTTCAAATATGATTGTTTGAAAAAAAATTGTAGTAATTATTTTCAATTAATTTTTGTGGTTGTAAAATTGGAAAACGGGAGCATATATCGAAATATTTTTTCTGGTATGATAATAATATAAATTATATTATTTAAATTATTTATGTTTATTTGTAAAAATTTTAGTGTATTATATTTTAATTCATATATTATTTATTTAGTTAGGCTTGTTTAAGTTTTTTTTTTGTAGATATAAGACTGTCTCCCTTTCAAACTCTAAGAATGACGTGAATATCAGCTATTATTTATTTGGTAGAGAAATTCGAGAAGATGAAATCGGCGTTGTGTTCATATCAAATCATTCTGTTAAAATATCCTTCAAGAGAAACATAACTCTTGAGGAGCTGATAACGAAGATTTCAAGGAATGCTCGTGTTGGAAGTACTAGAAGACTATCGTCGCTTCAATACAAATTTCCAACATCATTGTTTCTGTTAACTTATACAGCGTTCGAACAATGATGATGTTGAAATGATGGTTGATTCTCAAAATCATTATTCAAACGTCGATACGGAGATGTATGCAAAGTTTGTTGAAGTGCGTGTTATTTGGGGTCTGTCATTAAGCTCCCATTATGGGCTGGCTGAACAAGCTGATCAAGTTGACAACCCAAATAAAGTAATGTGTAATAATTTTAACGCCATAATAGAAAATTCGCATCATGGTGTCATCCTATCAAGTTCAATGGGGAGACATTCATCAGCAACTCCTTACGAACTATACAGGAGGTGTCTGTGCGGCGGCCATCGGTGGTGAGGCTGGACCTGCCAAATAACTAGCAAATGAACCCCAAGTCAGATATGCAAACATAGAACCATAATATTCTTCAGGATGTGTCATATAACTATGTGGTGGTGGCGATATCTGGTATGGAAACGGCGGTGGCGGCATCTGATATGGCTGCGGGGTGTCTATCGTTGCAGACGGTGGTTGCTGTGAAGTTTCTGATGCTGCAACTGACGACGAACCGAAAGCACCTGCTCTCCGTCCACGAGTCGGGGACGATGGGGTTGTGATGGTGCACGTCTATATCGATGTCGATAAATGCTTCGTCCTCGTGCATCCTCGGAAAGCATGAACACTTTTTTGTTACTGTTGAACCACTCGTAATAACCATCTGCAACCGTCAAATGGTCCACATAAATGGGTTCTCTACGGGGAATGCGCCAACGTCGATCCTCCCATATCATAACCCACTCATAATGCTTCAATAGTCAATCCACATCTTTCTTACCACATCGGTCGGTGTTATGTAACTCGTCGAGATTTTGAGGTGCTTTCGGAATTGATTGTACATAACCAAATTGTCGGAGTAAGCGATCAGTGGGGTGCCACTCCACAATCGTATAACAGACCAGAGAGACCACCACCATCGAAACATCTAATGGGCCCCTTAACTTATGCGTGATGCAAATCCTCATATCATCATTACAATAACGAGCTCATTCAAACTAAAACAAATATATATAATTCTTATCAAAAATATAATCTAATTATATAACGATAATACAAAATAGATTTTCAAACATTTAAATATATATCTATGTGGCAACCTTCTGATCAATTAGTAGCCTCATTAATTTCAATTTATCAGGTAGATCCCGATGATTTTTCCAGTCAATAGACCATCTATTCAAGGAAATAATTTTTATTATATATTATATAAAATGATTAATATGCGTAATCAGTATTGTAATTACCTCAATAATAACAGAAATACAAACGGGTTCTTCACAACAAGATATAAAAAGGGCATGCGATATCATGCCCAATACTGCAGCAGAATGAGACATTCACCGATAGCATTTTTCCTGTAGTCATTAGCTCGACACATCTCCCTATACAAGAATGCCAAAACTGTCGAGCCTCAACTCAGTGATTCAGCCAGATGAAAATCGTCGAGATGCCGCAACCACATACAGTGAATTTGGTTACGCGATTTGTCTGGCATCAGCAGCCTTCCTATCAGCTGTAGTCTGCATGCCCGTGCATACTTTTTTACCTAATCCTCCGACGCATCCTCACTCAAATTCTGAAAATTTGCATCAAACCAATTTAACAGAATCTGACCACCATTAAAATTTGGCGGGACACGTACTAGATATTCCTGGCACAACGAATTTCAGTTACCGTGCGCCACCCTTGAAATCACATCTCCATCTACCGGAAGCCCCAGGTGCACGGAAACATCCTCCAGCGTAATCGTGCACTCTCAGCACGGAAGATAGAATATGTGTGTCTCTGGTCTCCACCGCTTAACTAATGCAGAAATCATGTTTGGTTCTATCCTACAGTGGCCTTCATATCTAGCTAGGTAACCGAATTCAGCCTCGACTAAATACGACCAGACAATGGTGGGTATCGCTAATTTAAGGTTGTAGATAAAATAATCTAATATACGGTCACTCTATTAAAATTATTAATAATTACAAAAATTAATATATAAACTAATAATAATAAATAAATAAATAAATGTTTACTAATAATTTAAATTAAAATATAATTTAAAAATATTATTGTATCAGCAAAATATCTTGATATATGATTTTCATTCAAACGAAACAGACCACCTTCCATTTTATAACTGCCAAAAATAATATTAAATAATTAAATAAAATAATAAAATATTAATTTAATGGAATATAATATAATATATTATCTTCTAAATAAAAATTGACCGGAGTTTAGTTTTTGATATGGTTTGAGAGGATTTGGTGTGGTGAAAATAGATGACGTAAGACGCAATGCATGGGTCGCACGTTTTTGCAAAGAGTTTTAGATCGTAATATTTTCTCTAACGGTATCTGACACGTAAATAATTAAAAAATGTGTGATTTTTGGGAAAAATCGCAGAATCAACACCCATTGATATAATATCCCTACTCCAACACTATACTGGTAATATCCAGGACTCTTTGCCGTTGTCTAACGGGGGAGGGCTTAGTATAGCTACAGTAAATACAGAGAAACAAGAGAAGCAGACCACTTATTTAAGGACATTGGGTATCTAACCATTTCCCGCTAGGGCCTTGAATCTGAACCCCCCCCCCCCCCCACAATTGATTTCTGCGTGAAGAATACATTAAAAATCCCACAGCTCAACCCGCATTATTACCACCCTCCCACCTGATCACAATTGAATCCATTGACAGCATCCTTGGGGAGGACCCCACACACACAAGCAAGTTGAAAAACTTTCATGGTAAAATAAAAAATAGAGAAAGCAATAGGAATGAAAGTAATAAAGTTGGCTTAAAAGAAACATGGAGCAGGGTTTAAAACCCGAATCTACAGAAAAAGATGGACTCGATTCCCATCCCTTCTACCAGACACAATGCTAACAAGTTCTGCTTACAAGCCATGGAAATGGAACATTGAAAAGGGAAAATTAATTGAAACAAGGACTGGTAAAACCATGTAATAAGGCAAATAGTAGAGAGCTGCCTCAGGCATAACAATAGGACCAGTGCTCGTCCTCGCTAGCCCCGGAATCGACAGCAGCATTGTAATCTTCCTCATTGGGATAGTAAAAACCATTGTTATTCGTGGCAGTTAACGAACAAGGAGATGCTGCTACGAGATAAGGCATGTTGTGGAAGGAACGAGCAATGGTGCTAACTAAAGCAGCATAGGTGCCTTCATCATCATGGTCCTGTACACAAAATTCTTCCGCACGATGCTTAAGGGTCTCGAACATGAGCTCAGGCTCATGCTGCATCACTCGGAGGACCTCCCCACATGATGGACCGGGAACTGCACGTGTAACCACAAAGCTGTGTGGACCATCACTCTGCAACACACTAACGACACTTGGGCCACTAAAGAGGTTGTGGACTCCACCGAGCGACTCCTGGTAAGCCCCGCCCAAAAACATACCCAAATAGTACCGCCCATTAGCACCACCACCATTGCCCTCCAACTCATGTAAAGGCAAGCTTGTTTCACCTCCGATGAATTTATCGATCATCCCATCACTGTCACAAGTTAAATCAGACAAGACCCCCCTCACATCAGGCCTTTCGTCCAATCGATGAATCGGGACTATAGGAAAAACCTGACCAATGCTCCAAAAATCAGGGATCGAAGTGAAAATGGAGAGATTCACATGGTATGTCCTAGTAGGATCAGATGCATCAACCATATTCGAAACCAAGTCACATAATCCATCAACAGAAGCAAGCTGTTCAATCCCCAAACTCCCTTCTTTAAACCAATCGAGGCATCTTTGCTTCAACAGATCGGCATAAACCGAACAGGTCTCATTCTCATGTCTCACGGCTGCCTGGATCAAGTTCCAGCAATCGGCACGAGCATCCTCGGATATACCATCCAATATAGATGGAAGGTCAACCGGGTTCATTGCAGTAGGAACAGTAGCAGAAATAGCCTCAAATATCAAAATAGAATGATGGGAAACAATAGCTCTCCCACTTTCACTACAAATAATCGGATGCTTGATTGATTTACGGTCACAGACGAATCGAACTGCATTAACAACAGCTGAAGCATATTCATGAAGGCCATAAGAAACAGAGAGATCCGAATTACCAGATTTCGAACCGTCGTAATCGATTCCAAGGCCACCTCCGATGTCGATAACCTTCATGTCAGCGCCAAGACGGACTAACTCAGAATAGATTTGTGCAGCTTCGCCAACACCAGCCTGAAGCAAAACTGTTGAAGGGATTTGGGATCCAATATGGAAGTGTAACAATTGCAGACAATCAAGCATCCCTGAATCCTGAAGCTTTTTAACAACCCTTAAAATCTGGGTGGTTGTTAAGCCGAACTTACCTTTCTCACCCGAAGTTGACCCGAAATGACCCGAGTGTTTGGTTCTCAGCTTGGCTCGGACTCCGATCACGGGTCGAACAGAAAGTTTCTTGCTTATTTCAATAACCAAATTCAGCTCTTCTTCTTCTTCGAGAACAATTACAGTGTTCAACGCGAGTTTCCTTGCTAGCAAGGCAAGGAAAATGTACTCTGCATCCTTGAAACCGTTGCAGATCAACAAGGCCTCTCGGTTTCCCTTGCAAAGGCAGCTCATGGCAAGGAGGAGTTCGGGTTTTGAACCGGCCTCAAGGCCAAACCCGAAGGGCGACCCAAATTTAACTATGTCTTCAACAACGAACCTGTCTTGGTTACATTTGACGGGATATACGCCCTGGTAATGAGACTCATATCCTTGGGCTTGGATGGCAGATTCAAAAGCCGAGTGAAGGGACTCGAGCCGGTTCTTCAGCACATCGGGTACGCGAACAATGAGCGGAAACTGTAAACCGAGTCCGCCCACCGATTTTGGGTCCGAAACTTTCTTGACGACTTTCAACAAATCAATTTCCTGGTGTGGAAGAGTGTCCGTTCCGTACGGACGAACGGTGATATTGCCGGAGTCATTGACGGAAAAATAAGGGGCACCCCAGCCTTCGATACGGTAGAGGGCGGTGGAGTGGGCGGTGGACCAATGAGTTGAGTTGGAATTAACGGTGGAAGCGGCGGTGGAGGAAGAAAAAGGGGACGCCGCTGGAAGGGAGCTATCCCCGGCGAAGAAAGCCGCGTAACCAGGAGGCGCTACGGCAGCAGCATCTACGCAGCAAGCCAGGGCAGGCATCCTACGAATTAATCTGTAAAACTAGCTAAAAATGATTTGAAAAAGGAAAAATTTTAACAAAGAAACATGAGATTTGTGATGTAGCTTTCAAAGGGTGGGAGCTTTAAAGCCCGCCGAGGCCGAGGCCCCGGCTACTCCCTCAAAAGAAGTAGAAGACGGCTCTATTACAACCGGAACAACACCTTCTCTTTACCCAAAACTTCAAAATCCCCACGCCGACCCTTTCAGCAGAATATTTTGAACAGATTTAAAATTAAAAATTTCAACTTTTTTAAGTGAAGGCACACAATTTATTCGGCAGAAAATGAATTCATCATGCAGATCTGGAAATAAAAAAGGAATTTTTTAACAAAAGAAAATTAACTGAGAAAGAAGAACAGGATTTTCCCAGAAAAGAAGGGATAATCAGAGAGAAATGAGTATTATATTCAACAGGAGATGTTAGCAGTGGTTGATTGAGCGAGAATAGCTCGAACGCAGATGGTTCCTTTATATATGCAGTTTTACGGGTCGACGTGGGTCATGGGGTTGGGCCTATGGGTACCGGAAAAATGTTCTCGTGTTTCCTTTTTCAGTTTTAATTGTTTTTTATCTCACTAAATAAATGGAAAAGGCGTTTATCTCGAGTGTTATTTTCTGGGCCGTTGATGCTGAGATTCCTTTTGGTAACGGTTAATCAGCGGCGGGTTGCCGCGTGGACCGACAATTATGGGGTCCATTTCACAAATCTCATGAACTATAAGGATGATGTTTTATTAAAACGTCGTGCGATATCTTGGAATAAATTTTGAGATTTTAGTCCCTCAATTATATTAAATTTTGAGATTTGATTTCTTTATATTCCAATTTATGTAATTCATTTTTCTATTTTCTAGTGTTAGTATGATAGTATCTAGTAATAGGTCTAAATTTAAAACTCGTAACGTCATAAAATGGAGATTCTGTCACTTTAGCAAAAATGAACTTTTAGTTATTTTTTCATATTTAATTAAAAATAATTGATTAGATTAGATTTTCATATTCGTTAATCTATAGTAAAAAAATTACTATCTTATCAATTCAACGACGCTATTAAAGCATAAGTATCAGAATTTATCAAAGTAAAGAATAGAGATTAAATCTTAAAATTCAACATATTTATGGACTAAAACTATAACTGCACCTTCAACGGTTGTGATTTTTTTATTAGTTAAACGGTTAGGATTTGGTCCAATAGAAGCGGAACTTTTGATTTGAAATCTATATAATCACGTGGAGAGCATTAATTTATTGTATGGTTCCTACTTTCTAGTTCGAATGAAATGCAAACATCGATTCTCTTTTCTTTGTTCTGTCACAATCTATTTTAAATTACAACTTGAGACGCTAATGTTGCAAGTGAAGCTGAAAGAATCATTAATGTTAAATCGTGTTATTTATTTTTTTAGATTAAATTTTTTATTATTTCAAATTTAAATAAATTTCTTATTGTCTTTGTATATTTGTAAAAACTTTTAATAAAATGTTTAAAATAATCATTTAGTAATTTCATTTAAAATTGATAAATAGGAATGTATTTTTGGTAGCCCCTTAACAGTTCATCAAGATGGGCAAATGCGTATTTGATTACACATTGAGGCGTTAAGAAAGCATGAGATGGAGAGAAAATGATGGAAGCAAAAAAAAGCATTGAATGAGTGAGCCATGTTTAGGTGACTCGTAAGCAAAAACCTTATCTCCCAGAGAATCTACAACTTTGACGCATTCATAACCCTTTCTTGTTTTCAAAACGTTAAAACTGACGGTAATTTTGCCTCGTTGCCTTGCCCACCCAACGACGGCCGTCTAGTTTAACGCCGCGCACCCAACACGTAAAATATAAAATTCAGATAAGGCTCAATGCACTTTTTGCTCCTTAAAGTATGTTTCTTTTCTCAATTTAGTACCTAATTTTCTTTTTTATTATAATTGTTTAGTAAAAAGACATCAAAGGTCCATGTCTTTTGAAAAAAAAATCAATGTGGCCCTCCAACTCAAAAAATAAACACAATATAGTCTTTTGACCTACATTTTATGTCATTGACCGTTATGATGCAAGCTTGGCACTTCATGGCACTGACATGAAGGTTCACGTTGCTGATGTAACAGTCCATCTATCATGTTTGAGTTACAAATTTAGCTCATCTATCATGTCATTTGTCACTTTATCAATCACAGTGAACTATCACATCAACACCATGGACCGCCATATCAGCACTGTAACGATCAACAACAACAAAAATTAATCAAAATGCTACATTGAATTTATTTTTTTAATTAAAGGATCACATCAAAAAAATAATATAAATGATCGCATAAATTTTTTTAAATTACATGGACCGTTTTCTGCCTAATTGTTTCTAACGTTTAATTATGTTATTTAATTTATCCCAATAAATAATTGCATTAAAAACGATAATAAAAACGTTAAACGTTGCATTTTCACCGGATCAAAACAAATGCTAGTACTATTTAAAAAAATAGTTAAAATATTAGTATTATAAAAAATTAATAACCGTCATTAATAACAACAATGTATATTTCTTTCAATACATAAACTCTAGACTATCATTATAAGATAAATAATAAATAGGGTAAATTATATGTTTAATACCTAAATTATCAGTTTTAGTCTGTTTAATACTTAAACTTTCAATCATTTTAAAACAATGCATAAAGTTTAGCTTTTGTTTCATTTTAGTATCCATGTTCAAAATATAACATTAAGTTTTGGAAAAAAAAATGAAAGTTTAGGTATTAAAACGGGCCAAAACTGATAATTTAAGTACTAAACTCATTAAGTTTTTAACGATAGAATACTAAAATAAAACAAAAAGTAAAAATTAGGTATGGTTTTGAAAATTTTAAAAGTTCAAATATTAAAAT